TTTTAACATCCCCCTAAAATCAATAAAAATTTTTTATTTAAAAGTGGCAAAAAACAAAAAGACAGTTGTGCCAGTAGAACTTTTCTGAAACGGTTCAACAAAAACAACAATGCCGTAGACCCAAATTTGGAAAAAGAACTTTACCTCCCACGCATGCGGACCGACAAAAAACGTCCTCTTTCGATTTTTACACAACAGTCTACCTTCTGCGGACTTGCTAGCCAAAAGCACAAGGCAACAGATCGTTAAAAACAACAAATGCAAAACTTGTGGTAAAGTCGAGGACACTAGGCAAAGATGTGAATGAACATCTTTGCCTCATGATGGTTTTTGAGTGAGTGTCAGGAGCAGCTTCGAGGTAAAGTTTTTTTCCGATAAATTTACGGTTTTAATAGAGAAAATCAAATTTATCAGAGAAAAGTTTTTTTGGGATGTCAAGAAGTTATATACATGTTTAAAATAATCCCATACTTTAATATATACATATTTATATTACATGTTTAAAATACTCCTCCATTAAAATATGGGAGTATTTTAAACATGTATATAACTCCTTGACATCCCAAAAAACTTTTCTCTGATAAATTCGATTTTCTCTATTAAAACCGCAAACTTATCGGAAAAAAACTTTACCTCGCAGCTGCTGCTGACACTCACTCAAACCATCATGAGTGAGCTATGGAACAGCAGATGCCACCACATGTTCAACAATTCCAAAATCATCCCTATGGCAGTGATCAGGGTAATAATCAGCATTTAAAATGTATTTTGTCAAGTAGAAAACAAGAATCTGAAACTAAACATATGAGCTAAATAAATACACCAGCTCATCGCAAAAACTATAAGTTTAGCAAAGATTTCCTTTTCTTTGCAAATTATTATTTTCACAACAAAATATTATTAATTATGATTAAATAATCACTATAATCAATGTAAACATTTGAAAAAGCCAAATATTTTAAACTTAATATAATATTGATTTAGTGTCCATTTTTAACATCTTCGCTTCCAACAAGGCTGCAAGCAACCACTAATTAGTGTTGGAAGTTACTGGAAGAGAAAAGATGAAGATTGTAGACCAAGATAACGATTGACAGACGACTTAAAAGATTGCAAATTATATGAATCAGGAAAGCAAGATGAAGGAAGCGAATTCCAAAATACTGATGTTCAAAGAAAAAAACAAGACGAATAAGAGTTTTTGGAGCACTTAGGAACAGTAACAGAAAAAGGATGAGACTTAATTGAATGACGAGTAACATGAGAATGAATTTTAGTAGATGGCACAAGAGACGCTAGCTCTTTAGAGCAGTGCCCATTATAGTATTTGTAGAAAAGAGAAAGAGAAGCAACATTACAACGATGTGACAGAGGTTGATACACCGTCCAGATACACCGTAAGAAGAAAGCTTATGGAGAAGACCAGCATGCCAAACTTTATCAAACGCCTTAGAAATGTCAAGAGCAATAGCCTTAACCTCTCCACCTTTATCTAATGCACAATAAAAACTATCAGTTATTACTGTTAGCAAATCAGTAGTAGAATGAGAAGATCAAAATCCATATTGATGATCAGAAAGTAGGTTATGAGATTCGAGATGAAAGATTAAGTTTTTATTAATTAAAGATTCAAAAACCTTGCTTATGATAGGAAGAAGACTAAATGGACAGTAGTTGAACGAATCAGATCGCTCTCCAGAATTTTTAAAAAAAGGGATAACAGAAGCTGCTTTCCAGCAGGCTGGAAAACAAGTTTCTGATAAACACTTGTTAAATACTTTTGAAAGGATAGACGACAGCTCCGGAGAACACTCCTGCAAGACTATAACAGGTATGTTGTCCGAGCCGCAAGCTGTAGAAGAGTCTAAGCAGGTAATCACTTTAGATACAGAAGCTGATGTGATACGGATGTCAAGCAGTGGATCAACCTGTTTGACAGCTATATCAGGTAAAACGCAACTCGTGGCATCAAGAGATGATATTGATGAAAAGTTCTTGGCAAACAATTCAGCTTTGTCTTTAGGTGAGGGGACAAAGTCTGAACCGTACAAAAGAGGTGGAATTACAGACTTGCCCTTATTATTGATACTATTAAAGATTCTCCAGAAGTCACGAGACTTTTCTGATGAAATACGAGATTTCATGATCTGAAAATAGCGGGCTTTGGCGTTAGACAAAACCTTTTTACAATGGTTTCTAGCAGTAATAAACAGACGTCTGTTTTCTAGAGAATTGTTTTGCTGATAGATATTGAAGTAATTGTTTCAATTAGTAATTGCAGCAGCACAATGTGAGGAAAACCATGGAGAAGAGTGAGGCTTGACCTGGAATCGTTGAGAGGGAATAAAGGATTCCATGCCAGCCTGAATCCACAAAGTTATGTAAGAAGCACATTTGTCAACAGGAAGATGAAAGATTTCTACCCAGGAGCCATCATGAAGAAAATCATGGAAAGAGTCCCAGTCAGCTTTAAGGTAGTTGTAAGATGTACTATGATAGGGGGATTCTTATGGTAAAGATGAATGAGATAATAGTTTTAGAGAGACCAAACCATGATCAGAAGCACCTAAGGGTGAGTGTGGTGAAACTGAGCACTGACTAGGATTAGAAACAAGACATAAGTGGAGTAGTGAAGGTAAATGATTCGGTTTGTCTGGAAAGCGAGTTGGAAAGTTGACTATTTGAGTTAGGGATTGAGAAAGGCAAAAGTTGTGGGCCTGAATGCCTGTGGAGTCACTGACACTAGAACCAAGCCATTCAGTGTGATGAACATTAAAGTCACAGACAACAACAATATTGGATGATGGATAAAGCATGAGGGCTTGGTCAATATAATCAAAAATAACATCAAGAAGAGTGCAGTCTTGAGATGAAGAAAAGCGATATAGAACAAAGAGAAAGGTAATAGAGTGAAGTGGTGCTAAACAAAAGCACATAAAGGAGTAGTCTGTGGATTCAAACCTAGTTTCCCCACAAAAATGAGTGAATTCTTACGCATGTAAATGCCTAGGCCAAGCATGTGACTATTAGAGTCTTTACGAATTAAAGGAAGATAACCATCAACACTAAGATCACAAGATAAGACAGCTGAACTCAAATTAGTCTCACAAAGAGCAAGTAGGTCTGGTGAACTTTGGAATAGATAAGACTCAACAGAAGAAAAGTTACTTCAAAGACTACGAATATTGGTGAATGATAGGTTTAGTGAACTTGGTGATGACTGTGGTTTTTTGTGTTTTATAGTTTTTGTTGCTTTATTCATTTTTAAATTTGTTAAAGAACTTTACTCGAAACATAGATAGTACTTAAACACTGTTTTATAGCCCAAGCAAATGCCTCATTTCCACTAATAAAAACTAAGCCGTAACAAAGGGCTCCAATGTGGCCTTGGCAATGCACACCAAAAGTACAAACAGGGATACTATCCATGCGCAACATGGCACTGTTAGTACTCTGATATTTTTCAGCTGTTGATGGAATCAGCCTCTCTGAGAGCTACCACAGAGTTCAGGAAACCAGACTACCAGCCGGCCTCAGAACCATAAAACTGAATTTTAGAGCTGTACCCTCATTTGGAGATAATAGAATGAGTTGTCTAGTCATAAAAACAGAGACACAAAAAAACCGATGCATCGAGTTAAAAAGATCTAGTTCAACATCCTAAACTGGAAACAATGTATTAAAAATACATCTGCGCTAGCCTAATAGATGGAAAAGGGGTGCGAGGCTGGTCAACAGACAGAATTTGTTTACCCCTTAAATATATATATATATATATATATATATATATATATATATATATATATATATATATATATATATATATATATATATATATATATATATATATATATATATATATATATATAATATATATATATATATATATATATATATATAATTATATATTATAAATATATAATAAAAATATAATTTAATGAAAAATTTATTCCGAATAATAATGAATACAACGTTTTGCCAACTAAAGTTAAACGTTGAATCAACATAAATACAATGTTGTAGCAACTTAAAATACAACATTGTGCCAACGCATAAAATAAAACGTTGTATTAACGTAGAAAATATAACCATTTTCCGACTTTGAAAAAACGTTTTATCATTTTTGGTTTTTTAGTTGTTGACGATGTCGCATTTTTAACCATAATGATATAAAAAACATTGGCAGCCGATGTTGGGCCTACGAAACGCACGACATTGTTCTGTTTTAACAACGTTTATGTGCTAGCTAGGTAGTAGTTAATTATAATATTTGTGTCTTTTAATGTATTAAATATTAAATCTTTGTGTATATATTTGTATTGATTTTTAAATCTTAAAATACTTAAAATTGCAATATAGTTAATGCAAAATATCTTTGTAAAAACAATTTGCTTTCTTATTGTATCTTTAGTTTATTTTATATATATTACTACTTTTATATTTTTAATGGACTTTTATTACTCTTTTTGACATTATTTTTTTATATTAAGGGGCTCTATGAAAAGATTGAGGTCATATTGCATCATCCATATCTGCTTTAAAACCTTGTCTATTTTAACAAATTTTATTCATTGATATTTACCATGTAACACTTATCTGCAATTTATTTCAACAGCGAAGTATAAAATAAAAAAAAAATAAAAAAAATAAAAATAAAAAAAAAGGGCAGGAACTAAAGTCCATGTTTAATTGTATTGTTTTAAAAAAAACGTCTTTTAAACGTTTCTTGTTAAAACAAAATACAGGTTGGGTTGTTATTAGTATGAGCAGAGAATAAATTTTTTATAAACATGATATTTGGTCATTAATGATTACTTGAAGATTTTGACAGCTAGTAAATCAAAATTATTGTTTAATACACAACAAGTTGTAACTTTTTTTTCCATTATATATATTTAATTATAAAAAAAAATCACTCATGCTAACTGTTTTTTAATAAACATGTTTAAGTAAATAAATAAATAAAGTAAATAAAGTCTAAATAAGTAAAGAATTTTTACCAGCTTTTCCATTGATAATCAATAATTCAGAGATAAACCCATTGTGTGGAGGATCCCATTTATTCGAGGCATAAACTTTCATCTCTTCGATATTAGCAGCCAAAGAGTTTTCAACTCGATGAATATTGACACGATTTATATCAACTGCAAAAAAATATTTCCCATTAAGTAAAGACTGACATAATCTGATGTTAGACCATTGACCCAGGGTAAGTGGATCCGTTATAACAGAGTAGTTACTAATACCATTAATAGCAGCATAAATAACAAGTCTCCCAGAACCATCATCATGAAACCAAACACCAAGGTTTCTATTACCATAAAGATTCCTAACATTATCTGATGTCAAATGAATAACACTTTGTACACCTTTGGAATAATTCATTGGCTTCAAATTAAATGAGATAGTGTACTCTTTTTTTAAAACATTTAGGGTCCCGAGTATTAAACCTCCAGTTAAAGCATACTCTTCACTTAAGTTAATATAATCTAAACAAATAATGTTTCTCTAAAAAATAAGAAAACTTTTAAATTTTTAATTTGTTATACTAAGAGGTAAACCAAATTTTCAATACAAACCCCCTTGTAGGATATTAGTTGCTTTAAAAAGCGAACTAGAGCATCTTAGTAAAAATAAATTAGACAAAATAACTAATACTATTCTAAAAAAATTAAATTTACAACAGTGGAAAAATACCACTGACATTATAAATTGGTTTTCTAAAATTAGTAATAAAAGCGAATGCACATATATACAATTTGATATTAATGATTTTTACAGCAGAAATTTTAGATATAACAATAGAATTTGGAAAAATTTACACTGAAATTACAGATGACACTATTCATCAAGTTAAACATTGTAGAAAAACATAACTGTATTTTAATAACGAGACTTAGAAGAAAAAAATCACGCATGATTGCATTGATTTAACAATGGGAGGTTACAAAATTTGCGAATTTGTAGAATTTTGCAAAATTTGCGAATTTGTAGGCATATATTTTTTCAATTCCCTAGCTAAAACAGTTCATTTTAATCAATTTGGCTGGTATCAAAATGATGGATTAATAATAATGCAAAGAAAATCAGGACCAGAACTTGAGAAATTCAGAAAAATTCAAAAAAAACAACAATTATTTAAATATAAAATTATTATCAGGAATGACAAATTCGGACGAATTTGTTTCCATTGTCACGATAAAAGAAATGCCAAACCTACAAAAAGAAATCTTTTTTATAGAATCTATATCAAACATAAACCAAAAGTTTTATAATTTTCAAACGAGTTTTTAAGACGTTTGACGCGAACTAGATGAAATAAAACTAGGATTAAGTTTTGTTAGTGGTGTATGTAAAGACAAAGATAAAGCAGTGGGTGAAAAAATAAATAAGGTTTGTGAAGATATAACTTATATCAGAAAAATGCAGGGAAAATTAGCTTTAGACAATACCGAACTTAAAGGGGGTAGATAATAAAGATCGAAGTAGGCAAAATAACCTAAGAATAGATGTTATTTAAACGAGCAATAAAAAAGATTAGGATATGAGCAAAGAATAAATAAAGCAAATTTTTAACGTACAACTTGAAATCGCGAAAAATAGTAAAATTGAACAAGCCCATGGAGTAGGGCTCACTAAAGTAGAATGACAGCAGACAATAATTCTAAAGCCTCGCGATTATGAAGATAAAAAAATAATCTCAGAAAAAGCAAAGACATTTAAAGGCAGTAAAAATTTTTATAAATGAAGATTATAGCTTTATGACTTATAAAATATGAAAATAACTTTTTCAGCAGCCCAAGTCAATTTTTGGATTGGCCTAGAACAAAAAAGCTTGTGAAAAAAAAAGACCATAATTTTAAACAAATCTGATTGGTTGTTAGTGGTAAATCGAACAACTTTTTATTTATTTGTATTTAATTTATGCAAACAAAGATTTCGTAAATAATGGCAAAATAATATAAACAACTGAGGGTCTGTTATGACAGTTTTGCAGGAGATATATAAATATAATTGTAAAGTTTCCTTGAAATGTTTGTTTGACATAATTTATGAACCTAACTAAACTTAAATACATTTGTGTTGTTATATTTTAAAAAATAATGCTACTTTTAAAAGCAGTTGGAATGATTATGCAATATATATTTCATTTTGCGCTTTGCTAACAACAAAAAGTATTTATCTTAATAGATTATTGAAACCATATTAGCTATTTGTATGACTTAGCGTTCAAATATATAATTCTTTTTATAAGTTAAAAAGTTATTTTATAAGTTAAAATTTACTTTTAAATTACTTTTATAAAAATAAAAGAAACCAACTGTCAAATAAAGTTTACTAATAAGTCTACTAAAAAGTTTACTTCTTAAGTTTACTAAAACAAAATGAGTTTGAAAATGAAAGTAATTTGTTTATAAAGTTTACTGCCTCTGTTTTTTAATTGTTTACGCATTTTGAATGGAATAAATTGTTTTTTTTAAGATTGCCGAAAAAGTCCTGAGTATTTAATTGAAAACAAACACCAATATAACCAAGCCCCAAGGTACTTTATTTTAAAAATTACATCTTTTCTGAATAAAACGACGTTTAACAATTTGCTATAGTCCCATTACTTTTACCAGATTAAAATAGTGGTTAAAATAATCTTTCTATACATACCAAATAGATCATACTTTTTGTCAAAAAAACTTACATATATTGTAATTAAAAAAACATATATATTTTTGTTTGGAAAAACGTGGACCATGCCTTAGTTGCATTGAGAAGCTGCATCGACAAAAAGACCATTACGCTAAAGTTGTATACCATAAACTTATTGTTCATGAATTTAAAGAAAACATCTACAAAATAATTGTTAATATGACGCACGGAAATGAAGAAATCGACCGCAGCACGGCTGTCAATTTGACTTTGCTTTATAAGCAGGAGACCCAGGTTCGAAACGACCTCTGGACATATTTTTGCGTCACGGTAAGGAAGGAGGCATGAACTTCCTGGTTGAATGCACTTCCCTGGTGCTCTGTGACAAGACCGTAAGGTCTTCTTGGGGCACCTAAATAACAAAAAAGCCTATTTATTGAAACTATAAATAAAAAAGTTTTGAAATATTTTATTTGGATGCGTTTATCGTCCACCAAGTGATAAATTCAAATCATTTAAAACTCATTATCATATCAAAATCATATCATAAATCATTATCAAAAATACAATTAAATATATAAATAAAGATAAAAAAAATAAATAAAATAAAATAAAACTTTATATGTTGTTTGTGACAGTACCTGATCAAGGGGGGCCTAGGGAGGGCTATAGCCCCGGGCCCCGCAAATTTAGGGGCCCCCAAAAATTTTAGAGAACCTTTTTTTTTTTTTTTTAAGTCTCTGGCCCATAAAAATGCCTCCAAAAACAAAAATAGCCCCGGGCCCCAAGAAGTCTTCCACTTCTTGGGGCCCGGGATCTTCCACTGGTTTGTGATATAAATTTCAATGTTTTAAGTTATTCAAAATTTCTGAAAATAAAACCTTTTTTTGAAATGCTTCTTAAACTTTATGTGTTGTCAGCACATATGTTATATGTATAATAAGCCAACACGAGTGTCAAAAATTTCAGCAACAACAACATACAATATTCTTATTAATATTTTCTTGGAAATGGATATTGAAACCGGGATTTTTATGACTGATATTTGCACTCACTTTTTAATATTTATAAAAGTAATAAATTTAAAAAACTCGTCCAATAGTGAACTAAAAATTATAAATTTGAAAAAACGAAATCTCAAAACAAGTAATATTAATGAATTATTAACCAGACAAAACAAGAAACATGGTCCGATGTGAATAATAGTCTGGACACTAACGGAGCTTTCAATAATTTTTTAAATAAATTTTTATAGTACTTTAATAAAATTTTTCAAAAGAGAACATGCAAATTAAGACAAAAGCAATTGCTAATCTGTTGGTAGATCGCTGAACAAATGCGCAAAAAAGAAGCAAAAATTCTATAATAAATTTCTAAAAAATAAAAATCGTGATAATGAAAAAAAATACAAACAATATAAATATTTTTACCAAAGTCTTAAAATGCAAAAAAAATTACTATAGTAATTAAATCAATAAATGCAAGTTTGATTGTAAGAAAACTTAATATTGTTTCTTTACCAAAAAGAATTAAAAACAATGACATATTTTGCAAAAAACAAATCTTGCAATAATTTAACAAATATTTTAGAATTATTGGTCCAAACCTTTCTTATAAAATAGCTTCAACATTCGATTCATTTGAAAACCCACAAATAACGTAAATATCATGTGCAATAATGACATTAACTAATAAGAATTTGAAGAAGCCTTCTCCTTTTTAAAAAAAAGAAAGCACCAGGCTTCATGAAATATCTAGTGATATAACTATCTTCAACAAAATCAGGCTAAGCAGACCTTTAATCCATATACTAAAGCTCTCAATAACTTTTGGGATTTTCCCTGATAGACTTAAATTAGCAAAAGTAATTTTTTTATTTATATGTTATGAACATTTAGACCTATATCAATACTTTCTGTATTTTCATAACCTTTTGAACGTGTAATTTACGATAGAATCTGTATTCACTTCACTAAAAACAAATTATTTCACCCAAAAAAGAGAGATTTTAAAAAAATTTCTCAGCTGAACATGCAATCATTGAATAAGTTGATCAAATAGCTAATGGTTTTTAAAAAAACAAATTTATCTTAGGTGTTTTTATTGATTTATCAAAAGTATTTGATACAGTTAATCACTGCATCCTAATAGATAAACTAAAGCACTATAGTATAATTAAAAAAAATTTCAATTGGATTAAAGGTTTTTTTTTAAACCAATAGAAAATAATATATACGTAATATACAATCTTGAGCATTAAATGTTTTATGTGGAGTTCCCCAAGGATCTATCCCTGTTTTTTTTGTTTTTAATTTATATAAATGATTTTTGCAATGTGTCTTTACAATTAAAAATAGATTTGTATCATCAGTCATATTTGCAAATAATACAAATCTATTTTTTACTAACAATTATATTAAGAAATTATATGCAGACATAAATACTGAACTAAATAAAGTAAATAATTGGTTTAGGGCTAATAAACTCTCTCGCTTAACTTTTAATTTAAAAGTGAAAACAAACATTTTATTCCATAAAAAAAAAGACAAGAAGGAAACCCTCTTCTTTAGTTGCCTGACCTTATCTTAAATGATAAATTAGTTAAAAAATGAGCCAATATATGATTCTTAGGAATTTTTGTTAACGAGAATTTATCCTGGATTCCTAAAATAAGATATATTCAATCTAAGGTCACCAATATAAATGGTGTGATGTATCGAGTTTGTTCGTATATTAATAAACAAAATTTTAAACTAATATATTTTGGATTATTTCATTACTTCATCAGTTATCACTCAACCATCAAAACTTAAAAAAATTATAGCTTAGAAAAACATGTGTGCAGAAT